ACATACACCTAAGGTGGCAGGTTTGAATCCAGCCCGGGACGCCAAACAACGATGGCTGCAACCAAAAAATAGCCAGGCGTTGTGGTGGGCGCCTGTGGTCCCAGTTACTTGGGAGGCAGAGGCAGGAGACTCACTTGAACCCAGGAGTTGGAGGTTGCTGTGAGCTGTGATGCCACTGTACTCTACCCAGGGGGACAGCTCTTGGCTCTGTCTCAAAAAAAAAAAAAAAAAAAAAAAGATTTCAGACCACATGCTCTCTTCCCTTAGCTGGAACCCTTCAATAATGGCTTTTCTGCCTTCATTTCTGTCTGGTTACTCCAATCCTTGAAAGTGGCCCCGGGCCTCTCTCTTCCTTTCCTGCTAAGCCGAGTGCTGGCCCTGTCACTGCCTTTGGAGTCAGCTCATCTGGGCCAGCTCTCAGTGGTGTGCTAGCTGGTGCCACGTTGACTACATGCTGGACACTGCTGGGCATTTTCTATGAACTTTCTAGTCCTTACAACACTGTGAGGTTGAGTATCGTCTTCTTCCCATTTTATGGATAAGAAAACAGACAGAAGTTAAGCACTTTGCCCAAGATTACTTGGCAAGTAAGTTGCGAAGCCACTGTCTGAGTGCAAGATTTGAACCTCCGATTCTGGTTTCCTAACCCCTTTGCTGTGTTGATCTTGGGTAGTGACTTAAGCCCCTAACCTTTCTTCCCTCATCTGTGCAATGGGTGATCCTTAGCCTATAGCATGGCTTGTGGGCTCACACGTGAAACTGTCTACATCTCTCTCCAGTCAACATAATCAACAGGTTTGAGGAGACTCTCAAGCCCTCCCCAGGCTTCTTTCATGGAGGGCAATTCCTACAGAGCTTTCTCTATCCTGCTGGCATCTTCTGCACACATTCCTGCTTTTCTCGCTCCCCATGTTTTTCTGGCTGAGGACATCCTTTCAAGGCTCATATGAGCTAGGCAGCAAGGCAAAGCTTCACACACACACACACACACACACACACACACACACACATTCTCTCTCCAGTGCTGACCCTGCTTCCCTGTCTTATACCCCAAGTTGCAGCTAAGGGCCTAAGGGGGTTACCTGGGGAGGTGACACAGCCTGGGAACATACCGTGAACTTTTTACTACAGAGGTTGGCTCATTCACAACCCCCCACACAACTGGCTTACCACGTCTTCCTGACCTGTGTGTGTGTGTAATTGTTACAAAGGGCCCAACTACTGTCATATTTTTTCATGTCCTTGCAGCCCATCACTGCAGAGCACTGTGTCCCCTCCAGCACTGACTGTGGCAAGTCCAATGCTCTCTCCCTCCTTGCCTGACACCCACAAACCAAATAAGCCTCCAGTCTGAGTTGGCATTGGCCCTGAGTTTGATTTCAGAAGCAGGGGAGAGAATGGCTGGCAGGGAGAAGGGGAAGGATCTGAGGGAGGTGGGCTTCCCAGAGACCTCAGGACTATCCTATAAATACCCTGCCTCTGCTATGTTCTAGGGGAAGTCACGTCAGAGCCTGGAGAGACGCCAAGTCGCCAGGGACACACAGGGCTGTGGCCCCATGGGGCCTGGAACTGGGGACCTCTTGCCACATTCTTCTCAGCCAGGCAACAGGGATTTCTCAATGTTAAGTTTCTGTTCCTCAGCACCTCAGCTTGCCTGTGGAATAGTGACCTGTTGGCTCCCTCTCTGGATGGTTGCTTCAGCCCAGAGGAAGTGTGGGGCTGGGTTTCTTAGTGGATACTGTTTCTGTGCCCCCATAGCATGATGATGTCTGGCTTTAAGCCAGCTCATTATGGGAAGGGCTGGATTAACCCCAAGATGACAGGAGGTGGCTTTTCTCTGGCCTTCCTCTCATCCAGTTTTGACCCCAGTTCCTGCTCCAAGCCCTAGCTAGGCTGAGCTGCTCACAGCTTCCCCACCGGCTCTCTGCTCTTTCCTCCCTTAGGCCTTTGGTCGTGCTGTTCTCTCTTCAGAACCCAAGCTCCTCCTCCTCCAATGCTCTGACATTAGCTCCTCCTGGAAAGTCTTGCCAGGGAAGCCCCCATTCAGAGTCCCAGCAGCCTCTCCCCCGGCTCTCTGCGGTGTGGCCAGTGTCTTGTTTTGACTCCCCCAGGAGAACAGGAGCACAGCCAGAGGCTGCCTTTCTGCTTTGTCTCACGTTGCCTGCACCAAGCTCAAGCCTGGAAAGTCAGAGGAAGTCTGTAAATGGGTTGTTAAATTACCGAATGAACAAGAAGCAGCACAGCCTCCTCCAAATGTCCACATTCCAGAGTTGTGTACAGACAGCAGGAACAAAAAGTATAAAAGTCTTCAGAGGCCAAGGAAGTAATCAGCTGAGAGACACTGGCCACAGAGTCCTTGGAGAGTTGAGGGATACATTCCTCTTCTAAAGCGGCAGCTCTTCCGGTGTCTCATAAGAAGCCAGAAATCTGGACTATCTTTCACTGCTTAAAGTTGGGTGACTGTGGCAAAGACATTACCTTCCAGGGCCTTCCCTGGTCCCCTGCTGCTCGCTGAGGCCATGGGCCTAATCCTGGCCAGTGGGCCACAGACAGAAGTTCTTTGAGTCACTTTTAGGGCAGCATATTTATGAGGCACTGTGCAACTCTCCAGCCCACCTGTGCCCTGCTCAGAAGACCACATGTTCCAGCTCAGTAGTCAGCTGGGTTCCTGAGTGACTCTGTGCACCAAGGCTTCTGCCAGCCTACACTGCACATGGACTGGGAAAGAGAGATCAGCCTCTGCCGTGATCAGTCACTGACATTTCTGGGACTTGTTACTGCAGCAAAGCCCAGTTTATTCACTCATGCAGGAAATAATTCAATTAAAACAACCTATGCAGAAGGTGCCCCAAAATGCATACACATTTTAAGTATTAAAAACTGTATTTGATTTGTAATACTCGATATATGCTGATAATGAAAAATGAATACAGTCACATTGAACGCCTCTTATAATTGCAGATGTCAAACATGACTTGAGTATTACAGTTGTAATAAAAGTTTTTCCTTTCTTAAAATGTGTATACATTTTCTTGGTACCCTCTGTATATTTAAATGTGGTAGGAATACCTATAATTGCAATTCCTCATAAGTCAAATAATGGTTACTTATTTTTAAAATTTTTTTAGAGACATGATCTTGCTCTGTTACCCAGGCTAGAGGGCTATAATCAGAGCTCACAGCAACCTCGAACTCCTGGACTCAGGTGATCCTCCCTCTCAGTCTCCCAAGTATCTGGGACTACAGGTGCATACCATCAGGTCTGCTAATTAAAAAAAAAAAAAATTCTTAGAGATAGGGTCTTGCTCTATTGCCCAAGCTGGTCTTAAATGACTAGCCTCAAGTGATCCTCCTACCTTAAGCCTCCCAAAGTGCTAGAATTAGAGGGATGAGTCACCACACCTGGCCATGGTTACTTGTTAATAGATGATACTTCCTAAAGAGCTCTGGGCTGCTTTAGTTGCATGCCTTCTGGGCCTTACTTTTCTCATCTGTACAATAAGAAGATTGACCTCCAATGGGTTTGAAATTTTCTTAGCTATAGAACTCTTTGTTCAGATAGAAAATTCACACAAGTCAGTTTAAAGGAGGTTGCTCTGGCTGACAGTGAGGTGGGTGTTGGAGAGCCTCCCTTACCAGGCTCTGGGCAATACTGTTTGCAAAGCACTGTCCTTCCTGGGGGGCCTTTAGAAGTACCTTAATCTGAGTGTCTGCTGATTTACGTCACAGTTGGGGGAAGCCACTCAGAGGAGGGAATCTGGAGGAAAGCAAAGGATGGCAGATGCCAAAGTGAAGAGAGAAAGGGAAGCTGGGCTGTAGGGTAGACAAATAGACGTGGCAGGGACAGAGAAGGGGCACCCTATCCGAGGGGACGATGGGGGGGCTGGCGATCAAGACTAGAGGAGGCGAAGGAGGACCTACTTCAGCAGAGCAGGGCTCTTCCCCTTTGCTGGGCTGTGTCCTGAGACTTAGAGTGTGGGGACTTCAGCTCTATAGAAAGATGGTCTCTGCTTGAGAGAACCACACATTTCTGTGCTCTGAGAGTCTTCAGCTGCATGGCCCTAAGTGCGGTCTCCCTAGTACTCACATCCCTCCACCCCAAGTAGGCAACGCTCCATCTTCCTGAGCTCCAGAGTCTTCGGTCATGGGGTCATTCAGGGAATTACACTTTGAATAGAAACACTGAGTTTGTGTTTTGCTCCTTTATCAGGCTTTCATTCATTTGATGAATTACATTCATTCTGATCTCAGTGTCCTGTTGAGTCCTACAGTGGGCTGCACAGGTACCTGAGGGGCATCCTGAGACAGCTGCTACGTGAGAGAGCTTCGAGAGAGAATGTGCCCACCCCGACAAGAAATTAAAAGGAGCTTCTCTCCATTTTGAGCAATTTCCTGAAACTGCCGCTTGAACACTGAATCTCCTTGTGCACTGGGAGGGCCTTTGAGAACCTCTAATAGAGTATTTTTCAGCCATTTATGAACAATACAACCTTATCTTGAAATTAAATCCTAGGCAGAAGCCCAGTACACATGGATTTAAGCCCATGGAGTAAAGTGAGATGGGCTGGGGCCGGCCTGCCACCCAGGCACCATCTTAAAACCACAGAGTGACAGATGCAGTTGGACAGGCCAGAGGATCCTCCCCTCCCCCTGCCCTGCTGCTCTGCTCTGGGCAGTCCCGCCTTCTTTGTCCTGGCCTGTTCCCTTCCCCCAGCCCCCAGGGCACACAGCTCAGGCCTCTGCCCTAGCTTCCCAAGCTGGAGGACACTGTGTCCCCAATTAGGGAGCTTGGCTGCAGCCGGGGCCCTCAGTCCCCTGGAGGAGGCCCCTTGGCAGTGTGCCAGTCATGGCTACCTGTCTCTAGTGAATGAGCAGGGAGTTGTGCTCACTTTCCACTCCAATGGCTTCTCTGCCAGCATTGGGCAGAGAGCATACAGCCGGCACACAGCCTGCCATCACTGTTGAGGGACAAAGGCCGCCAAGGCCCTGATAACTGCCAGGCGTGGACCATCACGTATTTTGTGGTGGTGGTGGAGCCAGTTATAACAGAAGGTGATTCTGATTCTCTTGACGTCACCACTGGGACCCAACTCCTATAGGTCAATGGCAAAAAGAGGAAAAGAAGCCTAACAAAGTGGGCCTTTCATGAAGAAAGACTATGTGCTACCCCACTTTTGAGTCTTACAATGTCTTACATAAAATGTGGCAAACATGGATGGTGATGTGCTCACTCAGCACAATGGAAAACGTATTGGCCTCCAAGTTAAAATATTCCAAGCATGTCTGTGAAATCTGAGAGCTTGGTTACCTCCCTTCTAACATTTCCTAAAATTGTGACTTTTATTTTCTTGTTTTGGCATGATTTAAATGTAAAAGGTAATAAAGTGACCTGGGAAGCAGAAGTGAGGAGGGCTTAAGTGTGGGGCACAGTGCTCAGGAGGAGGGCTGCAGATGTGGCCATGCTGCCAGCATTCCCAGGAGCCTGAGCTCCGATCCTTGGGAAGCCGCTGACTACAACTTTCACATGACAGAAATGCCCGCCAGAAGGGTCAGCAAGGCACTGACAACAATGAACCTTTAAAAGGACCCTCCTGGCACCTGTTAGCCAGCAAATGGCAGGAGCCTGGCCAGAGAGAAGCTGCAGCGTCTACTGGCACCAGATGCCTCTGACAGGGGGGTCTGGCTGGACACTGGCCACCCCTTGGTAAGGCATTTTTGTTGATTAAGCCAGCTGTTCAGTTGTAGAGGGCAGGCAGCTGCCATCTGCCTTCTCCAAACTGCTGTCCTCTCCAGTGTCTCCCCACCCCAACCCTAACTCCCTTGACTCAGCCACACCTGTCCCTGCACCAGTCCCAGCACCAGTCCTGCTGGCTAGAAAGTCCAAGGAGGACTTTTTGACTCTATGCCCACTCCACATGGAAGTGTGAAGGCCTGGCGGGTACAGGAGTAGACCTCCCTTCCACTCCCACCCTGGGCCTCAGCCTCCCTTTACAGTCCCCTGTCTCCCCAGACACAGTTCTGGGCTCCCACTAATAGGTCTCCCTGAGTCTCTTCCCCTACCCAGGTCTCCCTGATGCCTCCCTCTGAAGAGCTGGCTGGAGAACCCCATGCAGATCAAAACCCAGTCTTCCTCTCAAAGCTTCTTGACAGCCTCAGCCCAGAGGCAGTGCCTCACCCTAACCCTGGCAGGTAGGACTTCTAGTTTTTGCTCTTGTTTAAGGTACAGCAACCTGGGGCAAGAAAGGCATTTCCAACCCTCCTGCTTCCCCGTGATGGTACATTCCCTGTCCTCCCAACTGGGCTCACCTCCTGTCTATGGAAGAGGGGGTCCATGGAAACAAGGATTCTCTCAGCTATAGTTTTTAGGCCATACAGGTGCTGAGAAAGGCCACTGGCCATTCTCAACTGCAACAGACCAAGGAGGCAACACAAAGAGGTAGACCTTTGGCTGCTGGGTGCCGGCTGCGCATAGCTGCTCTGGGCACTCTCCTTAGCCCACCTGTGTTGTCCACTGCGGGGAACTGTGTGTCCTGTGAGACACAGTGGCTCTCAGACTCTTTTGGGTCATACAACCTTTTGGAGTCTCTTAAAAACTTAATGCATTCTCCCCAGGAAAATGTGCATGTGTGTGCAGCTGTATGTACATATGCGCACACACACACAATTTGCACACCACTGCAGGGGGATCCGTCTCTTGTCCATGTCCTCCTAGATCCCAAGATCCCAGGTTATGCTTCTTCAGTGAAATGTGTCACAGCAAGAAAAGGAAGGCGGGGGCAATGGAGAGCGGGGCATGAATAAGAATTTTGCTGTGGCATCGAGCTGGTATGCCACCTTAGCACCAGCTTGTGCCACCTCTCGGACCTCAGGTTAGCCAAAGGTGGCTTGGCAGTTGGTGCAGAGTGCCTTCAGGGCTCTTCCCAGCACTGCAGCTATGGGGCTGTATGACACCGTGTTCCTGCTGCCCAAGGTCAGATGGGGCAAGGGGAGGGGGTAGTGAACCTCTCCCTCAGCAACACACCCTGCAGAAGACAGTTGGATAGCCAGAAAAGTAGACCCATGGAACTGCAAGTTCCTCTTTAACTGCAGAGGCTTTGGGAAGTGCAGTCACTTTCTTCTTGATTTTCATTTACTTTAAAACAATTTCAAAGTATTTCTTTCAATGTACTCTGTGATGGGATAATCACTCACTCTTTGAAAGGCTCTGGGTTCAAAGCTCTGCTCTGTGATTCCCTGGCTGTGTGATGCTGGGCAAGTCTCTTTCCCCCTCTGAACCTTAAGTTTCTCATTAGCTAAATAAGTACAATTCTTGATGACTTTTGTGAAGCCTAATGAGATCTAAAAGTTAGGCCTTGTATAAAGCTCACCTATAATAAATGAGCTCTCATTTCTGTTATTTTTGACATTGGGAATCAGAGGCTCTGGAGATGGGAATGTGGGACTCAAATAGGATTAGAGATCTCCCCCTCCAAAAGTGAGGAAACAAGCTGAATTTATCCCTAAAACGAGGATTCCAGTCTCTAGGGGCCCAGTCTCTAGTAGACCCCACAGTACAAGTCTCCTTTCAGGCTTTGCATTTGCAGGACTTGAACTTTGACATATGCCCAAGTTCTGTTCCTGTTCTTTGTTATTTGTCATGGTCTAGGTGGCCCCGACTCGGGGGTACCCTGGGGCTTAATTCTGTTCTTGACCTCCAGGACCTACTGGAACCTCGTGGTGGAAATAGAGGCCCATCTCCAGTTTCAGACAGACACCTTAATCTAGGGCATCTGTCGAGATTTCACTGAAATCTCAATTTCACTGTCGAGTCTTGGGCCACCAGGACTACACAGAGAGAATTATGACTAGAACTAATAAAAACAGACTCAACATACACTGACTGCTGAAACACACCCTGGCAACTTCCAGTGATGTTTGGATCTCAGTTTATTAAGTTTCATTTTCTCTTCACTCCCTTCTTTTCCTCTCCCTTCCTTTTCTTCCTCCACTTCCCCTTCACCCTTCTCCCCTAGCACCTGCAGCCCTGGTGGCAGAAGCCCAGGATTCACGTAGAGAGGAACAGGAGGCAGAAGGATCTGCATTTACCTCTTAGTTCACCAATTCACTTACAGATTTTTTTGTTATTTGCTTTTTTTTTTTTGAGGTTTCTGGCAATAAATCTGATAGGCACCTTAGTGCTGTAGGTAGTTAAACTACAGCGAAGCTAGAGAAAAGTCTCTCCTGCGAGCGCAGTGCATAGCTTTGCAGTCTAACTTGTTTGGGTTCAAATTCCAGAATCCCAGCCTTTATTTGCTATTTAATTCTATGTGATCTGGGGTTACCAAAACTCTCTTCTTGCAGTGTTTGAAGAAAGCACTGTCCGTGGCCTGGTGCTGGTTCTCTTTCTCACAGGCTGTGCCAGATTAATGAAAGCACGGAGGCATCTTTTGAAAGTGGGGAGTGCAGGGCATAGAGACAGGAACAGGGGGAGAGCAGGGCATCAGCAGGCTGAGCTCCAGAGTTAGCTGTGAAGTGCAAGAGACCTGGAGGCCCAGCAGGCCCTGGGTTCAAATCCTGGCTCTCCACAAACTCATCTGGGTAAAGGCAGACAACTCTCATATATCTTTCAGCCAGTTTTCACGTTTGAAAACAGGGATATTGTGTTACAGCACAGGGCCCAGCACAAGGCAAACCCTCTATAAACAGGCATCGTTAGAAAAGCCTCTCCTTCTGCTGTATCTTGGCAGTCTGGGAAATGAAGGAGCTGTGCTGCAGGTGCTCTAGGCTCTTTCCCCAACTCTGGCACCGACACTGCTAGGAGACTGGCTAAGGACCGGGGTGGATAAAGGTGTAGCCAACACCTGTCCTGCTTAGGTTTTAGCCCCGAAATTGCCTTCCCTCTGGAGGAGGTGCCAGGCGCAGTGCCCACTCTCGGCATTGGCTCGAGGCCTGCAAAGCGCCAGGCTGGCAGGGGAGGGAACCTTGCGCGTGGCAGCTGAAAGGCACAAGCGCCTAGGCTCCAGCGCCTCTGACCGGTGGCATTCCCGAGGTCAGAAGGTGAGCTCCGTGGACGGCCACGAACTCGCCTGCTAGTGCATCACTCACCGTCCAGCCATCGCACCGTCCAGAAGCCGCCGCATGTGCCGTGCCCTTGCCTGCACCGGAGCTGCTCCTGCAGCGCCTGCTGCCCGCTGTCTCTCGGGCTCCGGCTCGGGCCCGCCCCTTTCTCCGCCCACGCCCCGCCCCTCACCCAGCATGGCCAATAGTGCCATCTCTTCCTGCCCCACCCTGGCACGCCTCTCTCCCCGTACAGCCAATGGCACGGTCCGGTTCCGTGCTGAACACTTAAGTCCTCTGGGTGCAAGGGTGGGGTCTGGAGGCCGGGCGGTGCTGGAGCAGTGGATGGGAAGGTGTGCGGTGTCTGGCCGACTAGGGTCTCCGGACGATGCTATTCAGATCTCCCTGCGCCTGCTGAATCCCCAAGCTCCGAGAGTGCGCTGAGAAGCGCGGAGAAAATAGCACCTACTCAACTCCGAAGGGTCCGGTGTGAGAGCAGTGGCCAGGGACCTTGAGTGGCGCGGTCGACCCCTTTGATTTCCCACAAAGGCCGCTGCGCAGGCGCCGCAAGTACTTGTGTGCGCATGTGGTGGGGAGGGGGGTGGGAAGCCTTATCAGTAAAGCCGGAGCATTTGTTATTTATTGTTCAAGGGGCACCTTTTTACTTTATTCGCTTGGTGTGGCCTCTGAGAACTTCACATAGTTTAAGAAATCCCATCCGGTAAATAAGAAGAAACTAGATTCCTCACCCAGCCTCTGTCCAATGGACAAAGATTTACCCACAAGGACGCTGAGAGGACAGAAAACCAAAGGTCATTGGGGGAACTAGGAACAGCTCACTGCTTCTGGGGGGTGAGGGTGGCAGGGTGGGGCGTGGAGTTTACGGAAAACATTTGCAATTTCTGTTTCATCTCACCATTCCAGCTCTGACCTTCAGACCTCTTCTCCCCCACTCCCAACATAAATCATTTTCGTTTCATCCCGTCTGTCTTTCCTAATCTTTTAAGGGTCGTGAGTCATTTTAGAATCTGATATGGATCTTCCAGAAGAATGCAAGTGATCACATACCAGCCTGGAATTTGAGTCTAGGGGCCTCCAGTTCCCACCTCAGAGCACTGTGCTTATGATTGTGGGGCTGTGGGGCTGGTCTCTGCCACCTACTTCCTGTGGGACCTCACTTACGTTGCAACTCCACTGGGCCTGTTTCTTCACTTGCAAAAATGAGGGGGTTAAAGATGACCAGTCCAGGGACCCTGCTTGAATTATTGAAAAATGGCCTATCCATCCTTGCCAGCTCAGGCAGTCCTGAAGGTGACCTTCTTCCATGACAGTTTGCTGTCCCATAGCCCAGATACCAGACTTCATCAAAGCTGAGATCAATAACTGTCCGCTACAAAGAGAGTTTCAAAGCAACATAGCTTTCAACCTCTGAGCATTAGAGCCTAAGACTTTCATCATTCCCAATAGCACCAAGGTGACACACAATTTCCCTGGGGGTCTGTAAAGCTTGAATGTGAATCATTCTATCTGACTTAATTAATGTTCTTCCCAGGGCCAAGACTAACCTGGAGTGAGGACTGGGTTTGGGGCAGCAACCCAGTGTGTCTGGTGTACCCAGTGTGGGTCAGACACTGGAAATGCTCTGCATCAGGTGTGCCACGTAACTCCCTCAGCACTCTAGACAGTGGGAGTTACTGCTTGCATTTTATGTGGAACATAAAATGTGTCCGTTGTCAGGATCCTCAGTTCCTTCAGAAGGAGGAATCATCTTTTCTTTTAGTAGTTCAAAGAGTGTGCCCCCACAGTCACCATACATAGAGAGACTGGGAAATTGTAGCTAAATGTCTTTTTATTGACAATATATTTCTTTACAAAATTTTACAAAGAGGTGGCCAATTTGTAAAGAATATTTTGTAGAACTGTGTTTGGCCCCCAGTTCACTTATGGTGGGGGCTATGGATTTCCAATCCAATATCCATGTCCCACTTTTATATGGGAATTCATATAAAAGGCATGTCTCATTGGGGGTCACAGTCAAAAAAGTAAAAACAACTGTTTAAGTCAGTTTGGGCAATCTCTTTCATAGTATTTTCAGTTTCCTTTAAAGCTAGAAGTGGCTATAAGACCCATTTCTGGGCAAAGAACAGGGAAAATGTGCTGGGGTGGGAGAGATTTGAGGAAGGGTGAAGACAACTTTTGCTTCTTGGTAGAAAGAACAGGTGTCTCCTTTGCCTTTCTTTTTCAAATGTGGTTATAATGTGTAATGTCCGGAGCACTGGCAGCCATTTGGAGATGATACACCATGTCCAAATGCTGAGGTTGGTGGAGCTTAAAGATGAAAGGAGTCTGGGCTTTGTTAACATCATGGAGCTCTGCACCATGCATTACCTACTCCAGACTCCCTACCATGGGGACAATAAGCCCCTGTTTCTTTAAGCCAGAGATCGGTAAGGGGCTAGATATCAAATATTTCAGGGTTTGTGGGATAATTGATCTGTCACAATTATGCACTTCTACTGTTGTTGTTTGAAAGTAGCCATAGACAATATGTAAACCGACAGACTTGACTGTGGTTCCCATAAAACTATTTATAAAAATCGGTGGCAGGTCACATGTGACCCGTGGGCTGTAGTTTGTCAACCTCTCCCCTGGATGACCTTGTTCCCTTTGTTGCCTCTCTCACCTCACGTCCCCTCACTCCCCCAACTTCTCTCTGCTTTGACTCATATGTTCCTCCCATTCCTCTCATGTACCAGGCCTGCTCATGCCTCAGAGCCTTTACCCTTTCAGTTTCTTTATCCTGGAAAGCTCTTCCCCCAGATGTCTTCAGGACTCACCTTCTCGTTGAGGTCTTTGACTCTCATGTAAAATATCCCTCCCTGTTCCACACATACCACTCTCTAGTAGTCTGCATATTTCAATTCTTTATCATGCCCTCCTTGAGGGAGGGACACTGTGTTGCCCTAAAACCTGACTGCCTGGAATGTATAGTGCTTAATCAATATTTGATGTATGATTATTTTTATTTTTCCTTACTGCTAGATTCAGATAAGAAAACAGACTCGGGGAGGCTCCCTCAGTACCTCATTGAAGATGATACGTACAGAAAAGAACCACTGGTGGCCCTATGTGATTTTGTTTGTTCCACTGGGGAGGGAAGGTAGAACAACATCTCCTTCTAATGGGAGATCAGGTCTAAGGGGAGCAGAGGCCACACAGAAATTCTGGCAAGAGTATTCCTTGCCCTAGTGCATCACCCCAGTAAAGAAGGCCTTTGGGAATCCATTAAGGGAGCAGGTGTCCCACTCATCTTGGGCAATCTCATCCCTAACATTCCTACATCAGAAAGTCTTTAGAAAATACCATGATTCCAGAAACATGACTGACTTGTGAGATCCATAAAAAGCCAAATGGAAACAATCATGATTCAATGTTTTTAGTTAATGAGCTACAAAGAATGAATTTATCTTTGATTTACAAGTTAGGAAGCTTAAAGGATCCCAAGAGTCTGATAAAACACACGTGATCTCATCTGCAGGTAAGGTGCCAGCAGGCAGGCTGCTCTTCACATGTTTTGCTGAAGGCATCCTAGCCCCAGGGCACTGCTCCAAACAGACTGAGAAATTACCTTCTTCCCTCTGGTGCTTCCAAGGGAGGGGGAAATGCTTGGGTGTGACCACATGCTGTTGAGATGTCATTTAGATTTCTGAGTCTTGAAAAATCGGTTTCTATATTTTAATGTCAATGATATTAATGATGAGAACCATTTTCAAGCCATTCCCTTAAAATAGTAAAGGGGATTTTGAATTAAATTACTGATTGATTGCTTAAGGCCTTTTATGAGTAGTTTTGTGTGATTTTCTCCCCCTTTCCCTTCTCCAAAGTAAAATTCAGAACAAATAACTTTTTCAAGCCAGGGTTTAAAAAGTTTAGGTGATTTCAATGTGTATCCTTTAGAAAACAAGAGGATAATTGCACTGCTTTGGCAAGAAGAGGCCACTTACAGAATTTTTCTTGCACCGTTTGCTTTGGTGGGATCCTTGAGTAATGGGGTCATTCCGCTGCATGATCCTAACACACAGAAGGCCTTCTGAGGGTTTGCCATCCGTTTTCAGGTGACTTCTCAAAAAATCAGCATACCTATGTGAAATGGTTTCCATTAATTCCATTTGTTAGCATATAAATAATAAGTTCAGGTTAAAATATGGAACTCTTCAACCCATACCACGAAAATGCTAATTTATTCCCCAAATGGCCATAAATTTCAATATAGGCTGCTTAAGAGCCTTCTCATTAGATGCACATACACACACACACGTGCTTTACATATTATTTTTCCTTTATGGCTATGCTTTGGAAAAGTTTATGTATTCCAGCCTTGATACGGGGAGTATCAAGTAAGTACTTGATCACAGGGTTTCCTAGGAGGGAGGGAACTTGCTTTAAGTGGTGATATAGCTAAAAACTGCTGCTGAAACTTCCTTTGGGGGAAAAATAACTGCTCAAGTCCTTTGTTCACATAGTCTCTGAGAAAAGGGGATGGCTGTCTCAACTCATGTCTCATGTAAAAACATGCGAGGACACGGATGGCCTAAAATCTCACAGGCAGAGAGAATCAATAAGCCTGGTTTGGAGATGAGCTGGAAGCTTTTTCTGTTCATCCTTTCCTCTCTATCTTCCCGATACTGAAATTTTGTTGGTCCAACACACAGTACACATAGGAAGGCTGGGGAAGGGGCTACTTTCCTGGACTTCCAAGTTTCCCTGGGACCTGTGGCACCTCCCTCGTCCTCCTTACTTCACCGACCCAACATTTTTGCCTTGGGTTGTGCTGCAGAGGCGCACTGACAATATGGGGCTGCTAGGAAGCTGATTATGATTAATAGACACTATAATCATTGTGAGTTGATAACATCTTTAAAAAAAGGAAAAAAATAATTATGGCAACCCCAGATTTCTGAACAAATGGCATTTTCAACATAATTATAGTTTTAATAACATTAGAAAGTGGCTTTATATGATACAATTCAATATTTTTATTCACTTAACAAAAAACATGGAAGTTGGCTGGACTTGGAGAGCTAGGTGTGAACCAGTGCAGGGCAGGAGGGTTGGCAGAAGGATAACACTTCGCAAAGGT